GCTGGGTTGGTTTTTTTTTTTTTTCACCCAAGATAAAGACCATCCGTAAGAGGGTACCGCCAGCCTGAGACTCAGATGCCAGCCTCTTGTGGAATGTGACTGTTTGCTCAGTTTGAGGGAGGAAAGATAAGAGTTCATTATATCCAAAAAAATATCCAGAGAACATAAATTTTGTCACAGATGTGATATTTAGATAAGATTTAAATCCAGCCAGCATTTAACCAGAAGAGCTAGAGCTAGCATTAAATTCACATAAGTGCCAGGATTATGCACACGAGAGTCAGAAATATTAGCTTTGTCTCCGTCATGGAGCAGGGGAGATCGGCTGGAAATGGATGGTGGAGGGAACTCGAGAGTGTTACTTGATCATTCCTTGAAGCCGGCAACATTGTAAAGTGCTGGTTGATAAATTATTTGACATGTACCGTTAGTCATCATACTTGAAGGGGAAGGGATGAAGCCGGACGGTTCTCCTAGATGGTCGAATCTCTCTGGTTCACCTCCCAGCGGGGAGAGCCTGAAGCTTAAGCACCTGGAGCTATGGCTGGAAAGAGAGAGAGGACCTGCTGCAGTGGGCTCCCTAAGAACAATTCCCGTGTGAATCTCCCAGCCCCTGCATGGGGATCCCTGTCTACTTAGGAACTGAGGCTCCTATTTTACCAGCTCAAGGCCAGCCCAGGTACAGCAGGTTTTCCAGAGTTGGAAAAGCATAGGGGAGACTAGTTGGGGCAGAGCTGGTGAGGGACAGTCATGTGTGTTGCCTTCCTGAGGGAGGACTTGAGACACTGTTAAGCAGGGTAAGAACCGGGAGACAGCAGGCAGGAGGTGAAACCAGAAGGAGGTTTGAGTCACCCATAGCTACCATGCATAGTGACCGTGAGCTTGGTGACCTCAGCCACACTTCTCAGAAGGTTCCTGCAGATCTAGCTGTTAAGGCTTGACTCTGAAATCCTGGTGAATGAGATTCCAGCTGTTCCTGCCACAGAAACAAATGTTTGTCACTATACCAGACAAGGATACATGACTTTTCCTTCACTGTATTAATGTCTCCATCTGTTAACTCCAAAGTAACATTTTATAAACCTTGAATATACACAATGAAATATATTTGTCAAAAGTTCATTTAAAAGAATCTATCCTGGGAGATAGCTCAGTTGGTAAAGTGCTTGTTGGAAAGCAGAAAGCTCTCGGTCCAATCCCCCAATCCCACATTTTGATAAATTTATTTTTATTTTATGTTCACTGGTGTTTTGCCTGCATGTATGTCTGTGTGAGGTGTCAAGCCCTGGAACTGAACTTACAGACAGGTGTGAGCTCCTGTGTGGGTACTGGGAAGTGAGCACCGGTCCTCTGGAAGAGCAACCAGTGCTCTTAACTGCTGAGCCATCCGTCCAGCCCCCAAGCCAGGTAGAGCGATGCACACTGGTATTAAGACTGATGCAGAGGAAGACACAGGAGGATCCCAGGGGCTTTCTGGACAAAAGGCTGAGCCTCATTGGATGAACTCCAGACCAATGGAAAAAAAATACCATCTCAAAGGAAGTTCACTGCATCCCTGAGACTGGCAGTTAAATTTGACCCCTGGCCTCTAAACACACATGTGAATACATGTGTGTACGCACACACATAAACATTTTCTAAGTGGATAAAAATTAGTATTATCTGTAGCCACTGGTGTCTCTAGGTTGTAGCCAAGACCTCCCAAGCACACAGGAGAACTGTGTCCAGGAACTAATCACCAAAGTCTCCCCTTGAGGCTAGACTACTACTGTCTGTGTCCTGTCCAAGCACTTCCCACCCCATGCCACCACCATCCCCGCATCCTCTTGATGGGAAGCTTGTCCAGCTCCATATCTCTCCTGTGACCGTATTTCCTGTTTGCCTCCACTTCCTCTCATTGACCGCCCTTTATATTAGAAGAGCCCTTCCTGCAACCTGGAGGTTGAAAGTGATGTGACTGAGGCCACTTAAGACAGAGACTCCTGCTCAGTGGGGACCCCAATTATATTCTTGGCTCATTGTGAGTTTTTGATAGTTAGAATTGTGCGAGCTTGCTTGTCTTCATCTGTCTCACTCAGTCAGGCTTAGCCTACTAATGCCATCGATTTGGCAGGTTCTGACTGATGAATACAGTCTTTGGAACATGGTTCTTTTGTGTTGCATCAGAGTGATGCTATGGTGACTCATACTAAGGAAGGGCTCTTCTCACCGGGACCTCTGACCCCTGCTTGTGCCAGCAGCAATGTGTAGCCTCAGCTCTGAGATCTTGGCCTGGCATCAGCCACCATCTCACCAACAGCGAGGTAGCAGCTATACGGCAGCAGAAGAATAATAATAGTCCCGGCAAGAAAGGGACACCTGTCACTGGTGTTCCCAGCTTATAACCCGTGATGGTCACATCCTAACTCAGCAGCAGCAAAGGCAGAAGGCAAACCCTGACATCCCAAAGATCCAGAAATCGCTATTAAGCAGTTCTTTTGACTACCCCAGAGTCCAGGATGTGGACTGCACCCCATGGGTGTCTTCAGAGAGCCAAAGAGACAGATTCTCAAGCCTCCAATCCCTCTCATGGTGGCTTGTCTTTAGCCTTAGCTTATACCTCACACACCACGTGTGAGTTCAGCCCTGATCTATGGACACAAGATGTCCTGAGCATAGCTCTTGCCCCACGGCCACAGGGCATTGGGCCTGTGCACAGCCCTGCTCTAATGTCTCCTGACCTTGTTCACCCAACCCTACTTCACAGACCCAGGTCCTCAAGTGCACAACCTTCCAAAGCCTTCTCACCTGCACCAACACTTATCACAGTATGTTGTCACATCAAAGAACAAACACGGAGTCGAAGAACCATGATGAGGGTACTCAAAGAACATGCACACGAGAGCTTGAGTGTACTCAAAGCCATGGTTAGTGTACCTCAGCCCACATCTTTTTCAGTTCAAAGGCAGGCTGTGTGGCTCTCTTGGCTGGGATGAGCTCCAAATTCCTTTAAATGGGTCACCTGCTTGGCAGCAAGGCCAAGAGAGTTAAGGTCATGAAGGACTAGGTTGTTTTAAAAAAGAAATGACTCTGACCAGCAATTTGTCATATAGTATCCTCTTCTTTTCCTTCCTCCCTCTGCCCTTCCATCCTCTCCTTTCTTCTTCCTTCCCTTTTTCCTCCTTCCTCCACCCTCATCTCTTTCCTGTCTCCCCCTCCCCCAACCTTTTCTCCTCCCCTTCCTTCTTTCTTCCTTTCCTTCCTCTCTTCTTGCCCCCTTATCCCAACCACTTTTTCTTTCAAGGTGTCTGATCCTCTGAGAATGCTCAACCTGAATATAAGCAGATATCCTGAAAGAGAAAAGGCCTTAAATTAAATACTCCCTGGGCCCTGAAGCAAGGCAAGCTCTGGCCAGACCACAAATTATAATAAACCAGCCATCGCTAGTCCCACTGGACAATGCAATCAGATTTAAGTACCTTCGCTATTGGCAGACACTGAAGATGGCAAAGTCCGCCTTGATGGAGCCGGGTGCCCATTTCTCTTCACACTTATCGATCGACCTCCCCACCCAGGCTGAGGCTCACAATAGCCCGTCCTGTGCATTCAGCATCCACGCTGCCTCTGAAGCAGACAAAGGGGCTTTCACTAGAAAGGTCTTTGTGATCTTTGCACAACCTACTCATTTCTGTCTGCTTTCTTTCACACCCCTTTAAGTGTTAAAAGTAGGTTTTCCATCCTTTAAGGTGGAAAGTAAGAGCCCTGGGACTGAAATGGCACCTGTGAGGGGGCAGGGCAGACTGAGGGACAGCAAGCCACGTCGTCCCTTACTCTTCGCCATGGCCTTGGGGTGTTATGAGTCATCAGTGTCCTTTAGCCTTGGGTTTGTCATATGTGAGATGCTGCTGATAATAGTGCCGGCCTCCTGTGTGGTCCTGATGCTGAGATGATACTTGGGGTGAACTCAGCAGGCATCCCTGACCTGTATCCATATATCCTATTGTCAGTGGATAGAAGTTCCTCACACCTGCCTTTCTCTCCTGTGCTGACCAGCAGACACAGGTGAGGGAACTCATTCTTTTCCCCAGGTCCATCCTCCTATTCCACTCTGGATCCACCCTCTGCTGGGACCAATGAACCACACACCGGCTCTCTTTTGGAAGAATGTGTTTATTCCCTTGCTGTTCTGAAGGTCAAGGATCTGGAATCTGGAATCAGGCATCGGTCTGGAATTCTTCAGTTTCCAATCTGACTTTCCCCATTCCCAACCCTCTCTGACCTCCATGCTGGCAATATAGCCTCCTGCCCCCGCAGCCACAGTGTCTGCTTCCCTCTCCTAAATTACCAGTGCCCCTCTCAAAAGGATAACCAGAAGCTCTCCAGGACCAACCCAAATAATTTAGGCTAATTTTTTATCTATCAAGATCCTTCACTTTGAGGCTGGAGAAATGGCTCCAGAGTTAAAAAGTACTTATCCTGAGAGTCTGAGGATCTGAGTTTGGATTTCAAGAACCCTTATAAATACCATGTGGGCATGGCAGCCTGTCTGTGATCCTACCCTTGGAGGGCAGACACAAGGGATACCCAATGCAAACTACTTAGCGAGAATAGCCATATAGGTGAACTCTGGATTTGATTACGAGACCCTGCCTTGATGAGTAAGATGGAAGATGAATCAAGGCTGCTTCCTAATGTCAACCTGGGTATTCCACATGCACGTGCATGTACACACGCATGCATGCAAACACAAATGCGTGCCACAAACACAACAATATAAAAACAAACAAATTAATGTGTACAACTTCACTTACCAAAACGGCACATCAAAGACCCTTATCCCCATCTGCAAAGACCCCAGCAGGCTCTGTTCTGACATCAGGGATTTCATTCAAAGCAATGGCTTGTGCCTGCTTTACTTCACAATGATGAGTCCCAAACATGACTCAACCCTCTTCCCCAATCTGTAGAATGAGATGAAGCTCACCTCCCTCCTCCTTGCTTCTCTCCCTCCTCCCAACCAGGTTTCTGACAGATGTGACTATGTCTTTGTCAATGGGAAGGAAATGAAGGGCAAGGTGAATGTGATAGTCAGCTTCACCTACCAGCACCTGAGCAGCCCCCTGGAGATGACAGTGTGGGTACCACGGCTACCACTGCAGATTGAGGTTTCAGACATGGAGCTGAACCAGATCAAGGGCTGGAGGGTCCCTGTTGTCTCTAACAAAAGGTAGGTGTGTGTGTGTGTGTGTGTGTGTGTGTGTGTGTGTGTGTGTGTGTGAGAGAGAGAGAGAGAGAGAGAGAGAGAGAGAGAGAGTTTGTGTGTGTGTGTGTTGGGCATTGGGCATACATAGCAGAAAGTCATGTCCATTGTGCTTATGCTGAGGAGGGACACACACGAGTGGCTAACTACCTATCTAGGCAAAAGCAAGAGTAGACACAAGGGTTCACATGGTGACTTACTGGAACCAAGCACCTAGAACCTGCCATATGGGCAATTGGACACCAACCACAAGCCTCCAGCTAAAGAAAAAGGAGCTTAGAGAGGGAGTCACATGGATGGGTTTCAGGATAAGAAAACTGGCAGACTTTAGGAAGAAGCAGGCAGCAGATGCCCTGAGCACTTGGCTCTGGTGAGACATCTGAAGTTTGTCTGCCATAGTGGGCACCAACCTATTGTTGGTTGTTTACCTATTGCACACGTGGGCAGAATTTGGTAGAGAGGCAAACCTCCTGTCAGTCATAGGAAATCCAGATAAGGATCAGAGAGGTAAAGTCACAGAAGTTCAGCCTCTCTTTTTTGACCATCACTGCAGGGACCTCAGTGCATACATATCCATGCACTGGAAACATTGCAAATGTCTGAGTAAGTAAGTATGTGCCAGCACACAAGGAAAGACTTCTGAGGCTGTCACTGGGAGGACCTTGATAGTCTTCACCTTTGAGGTCCACACCTCTAGTTCTGTGACATCTGGAAGAGGATTTAGCTTGAGGAGGGTGTTGGTGCTATGGACAGTGGGAAGATGGTTCTTGAAGATGCTTCTTTGGAAAACTGGGTTTTCAGGAGTTGGGATAGATGGTGAAGTCGATGTTGTTGTTGTTGCTGCTGCTGGTGGTGCTGCTGCTGCTTCTGCTGCTGATGCAACTAGCCAGGTCTGGTACTAATGGACTCACATAGAGCTGTGCGCTCTCTGAGAAACGGGTCGCTGATATGTGAATGGAGGCTGGAATGATGGTGGGAATAGACCAGTGTGTACAATGTATCAGACAGTGATACAATGTATCAGACAATGTAGCAGACAGTCTGTCTGAAACCACCTGTCCCTGTCTGCATTGATTACAGAATCTCACTAACCTCAAAGTAAACACTCACCTCTTCCAGGTGCTGACTTAGTGGACGTTGCTAGTGGTCACAACCTTGTCAAGTTAACTACACATTGCTGTGTGTCCTGGGTTGGCCTCAATTGTTAACTTGATACAGACAAGAGTCATCTGAGCAGAATATCTCTATTGAGGAATTACCTAGATTGGGTTGGTCTATGTGAATGTTTATGGAGGATTGCCTTAATTATTAATTGATACAGGAGAGCCCAGGTCACTCTGGGCAGCACCATCCACTAGACAAGTGATTGTGGGCTATATAAAAAAGTTAGATAAGTGTAAGTCATGAAGCCAGCAAATAGCATTCTCCATTGGTTCTTATCTTCAAGTTCTTGCTTGAGTTCCTGCCCCTACTTCTCTCAATGATGGGTTTCAAATTGAATGTGTGAGCCAAATAAACCTTTTCTTCCCCAAGTTTCTTTCCATCAGAGTATTTTATCAACGCAACAGAAAGGAAATCAGAACACTGTATGATGCGGGGCCTTAATCTAAAACTCAGTATGGCTTGAAGGACTATGTGCACGGCCTCTCATATTCTGTGCAGAAGCAGCCAGATATGGGTTAATGAAGTCCTGAAAGCTGAGATCTCAAAGCTGAGGTCTACTAGTAGGTTGGTGCCCCATCTAGAGGCTTCTGCAGAGAAGACTCACTCAGGCATTGTCCAAAGGACTCAACACCTCACTAGCTGCTAATCAGTAGACAAGGTACCTGCCAGCTGGATGTCCCCATAGGGCAGGCAGCTCAGAACTCAGCATCTTGCTTCATCAGAGAGAGCCAGTGACAGAAGCCATAGAAGATTACAAACTACGTTGATATCACTGTCTTCAAACCCAATCAGGTAGCCAGGCATGAGGGAGTACATCTGTAATTCTAGAACCTGGGAAGCTGAGGCAGAAGAGTTGTTACCTGGGCCTCATAGTGGGACCTCGTATTAAGAAACGAACAAAAGGGCTTGTGAATTCTTCCACCCAGCAAATACTAGCTGAGTGTAAGTCTTAAAGGAGCCTTTTGACCCTTGATCTCTATTGGCAGGTAATGTTCTCTGAGGAGGGAGAGACATTGTCTTTTGTGGTTCAGACATGTTACTCACATGCCCATACTCCTGTAAATAACCTATCACACTGTCCCTGTAAGCAACCTAGTGAAACTGCTTGGTCCACCCACGAAACAACAAAAGACACAAAATAGAAGGGGCTGGTGAGTAAAATGAAGGGCATCAGTAAGAGTGGGAGAGGATGAGAGAGGGGATGGGGATGAATATGATCAAAATACATATATGAAAATGTCATCATGAAACCTGCTGTTATACATCATTAATATAGTTAGTAAAAATGTTAACAATGGGAAGGACTCTCCAGTCACTTTTGAATAGAGTTACAAAACACGCTCAGCGTTTGATGAGGGGGAGTAGAGAGAAAATGTCAGGAAGTGTGATCTTTGGGAAGCTCTTCACCCCCCATCGTACTTCTCCATTCTGAACTCTTGTCACAGCGCTGGTTAAACACCATGGATCTCCTGTGTGTCACCCGAGCCTTAAACAAGCAAGACTCTTTGGAAGTAGACTCATGGAGTCCCCAACAGTTGCCCCAACAAGTAACTCTCTTTTGGCAGGCCAGCTCGGGACAGTGAAGAGGAAGATGATGATGAGAAAAAGGGCCGAGGCTGCACCCTCCAGTACCAACATGCCATGGTGCGAGTCTTGACCCAGTTTGTGGCCGAGGCACCTGATCCCGGGGGACACCTGGCCTACCTGCTGGGCTCTGACTGGCAGGTGGACATCACGGAGTTGATAACTGACTTCATGCAGGTGGAGGAGCCCAGAATCGCCAAGCTACAAGGAGGGCAGATCCTGACTGGCCAGGAGCTGGGCATGACCACCATCCAGGTGAGGCATCTGCAGGGTTGAGTGGGGCTTTCTGTTCCACTGCTCTGCCAGGTGAGCTTTCAGCTGTCTGCCATTGCTCGGAACAGAGTCTCCCAGGGCTTGCTTCAGTGAAATCACAACATACACAGTTTGTGATATACGACAAGGACCTTGAGACCCCTCACACAGTACATTGGCGATTCAGGGTTCCACCTCTTCTTGGCCATGTCCCCAAAGCCATAGCAGGTCTTACCAGCTTGAGAAGCAAAATCCTAGAGAGAAGTTCACCCTGCCTGGCTCATGGGCCTGGCTGTCTTCTCCATACTGACCATGGTCACCTGTTCTTCCATCTCAGTAAAGCAAGGGAGGCAACATGGAAGAGTTTGGAGGGAGGAAAAGGAAGGGAGAAACGATGGAATTATATCATCGTCTCAAAAATTTTCAAAATGAAAAATAAATTTAAAATACTATTAATAATAGAGTCATCACTACTCCTAAGAGTTGTCCCCTGAGCTATATATACACAATATACACAATAATAAAAATAATGTAATAATATAATAATAATAAATGAAAATTTTAATGTTGTTTCTATCAAAGAACTAGGAAGAAAGTTGAAAGGCAATATCAATAGCTGGGAGCCTGGACCTAGAGAAGGGTTTGGCTTTAAACTTCACTTTCAAAGTTGATTCCAGTCCAGAAAGGAATCGTATGTTAGCAAGGAGGAAAGGACTGCCTTCCTAGGTACGAAGCATAGGAACTGGCACAGCAGGGCATCCAGTCCTGAGGCAGATCCACCAAGTTCATTCACTTTTTTCTGGAGTCTTTCCTGTCATGCCCACTCTCATTTAAATGGCCACAGACATCCAGAGGTGGGGGTTGGTTGGAACTTGTGAAAACTGGTTTGCTGAAGCTGCTCTGAAACTCCAAAGTCAAAAGAGCAAGGTGGACAGGGGAGCAGACCTCACTTATCCAGGGGGCTGAGGATAAACAAAGTGTAGGAAGCCAGCTCTTCATCCTTCTAAAGCTGAGCTGGGCTGGGGAAAATCATGCTCCCTGGTCCCCAGAGGTATGCAGAGGACATCAAGACCAGGCTGGACTCAGAAGGGGAGTTGGTGTGGGTGAGGGTGGGTGTCATGTGAGGCAAGACAAGATTTCAAGATGCCCCTGGATCTCATGGTTCAGGCTTTCTCAAAGTGTGTGGAGTCGAATCCCAACGTGTTGATACAAGTCTTTAACCCCAGCTTTAGGGAAGTAGAGGCAGAGCTCTGTGAGTTCAAGACTTGCCTGTTCTACATAGTAAGTTCTAGACCAGCTGGGATTAGACAGTGAGATCCTGTTGAAGAAAAAAAAAGACCTCAAACTATGAAACTGAAGATCCCGGGACAGGAGATAGATTAGATGGTATTTGAATTAGGAAGCCTTATACTATTTTAGATATTATTCATTGATTGATTGATTGATTGATTGATTGATTTTTATGTATATGAGTATTTTCCCTGTAATTATGTCTGTACACCACACACATGCCTGGTGACCACAGGGGCCAGAAGAGTCAGAAGGAGGCGTGAGATCCCCTTGAACTGGAGTTACAGGTGGTTGTGATCATCCATGTGGGTGCTGGGAAGTGAACCCAAGTCCTCTGCAATAGAAGTTAGTGCTCTTAACCACTGAGCCATTTCTCCAGCCTCAAGAAGCCTTACTTTATAGTCCCATGCTGGCTTTCACATGCGAGACAGAAATAAATGTACAGTTAGGGTGTCAGGTCACGGTTCTCTCGGGTATGTGAAAGCTTTTGGAAGTTGAATGATTTTAGATAAAAGTGCACTGGTAATGGCAGAAATGGCCCACGGTGTGTATAAGAATCAACAGGCTCAGAAGAACAATGACATTAATTCCTCTTGCTAAGGAGAAGAGTGGCTCACAGTGACAGCCAGCATTGACCTATGGGTATCCCTCTGCACACCTATGGGTATCCCTCTGTTCCATGCTGTTGTATGTGGAAGCACATTGCATCACCGCATTTCCATAATCAAAGCTTAGTGTTAGAGGAAGTCTGCTTCTGCTCCAGCAGGCTCATGCAGGCTCCTTTTCTCTCATGGTCCCTGCATGCCCTCACGCATGGCATGTGATGGATGAAGTGCAGTAACCACAGAGAGCCTCCCCTTGTCATGTTGGTTCTGCCCTTCAGATCCTGTCCCCTCTGTCAGATGCCATCCTTGCCGAGAAGACCATCACTGTGCTGGATGAGAAGGTGACCATTACAGACCTCGGGGTCCAGCTGGTAACGGGGCTTTCGCTGTCCCTACAGCTCAGCCCCGGAAGCAACAGAGCCATTTTCGCCACTGCAGTGGCACAGGAACTTCTGCAGAGGCCCAAACAGGTAAGGAGGTGGAGCCTAAAACACGCATCGGCCGAGTCTTACCCCAGGTGAGGTCAGCACACAGTAGGTGAGGTCACCATACACCAGCTATGGCCAATGTGCGTCAACCGAGGTCAGCAAATACCAGAGAGCTCACACATCAAGGAGACTTCACACCAGGTGAATGCCCCATAGTGAGAACCCCATGGCAGATGAAGGCTCTTTCCAGGAGATTCACATACTCCAAACAGGTATTACACGACCTGTGTTTCTTGCCTGCAAAGGAGCTGCTAACATGAGACTGCAAAGCCTCTTGCCTCCTGGCTCCTTGAAGTAGATGGGTAAACATTGTAGCAGGTGACCATCGGCCACTCATGTCAGAAGCACTGAGAAGATGCTCTCCTGTCCTCCACACTCAAGTGTGCTGGGGTGGGGGCCTGGATGGGTCACACTCTCCTGCTGTCTAAATAGTCCTCCAGGACTGGCATGCTGGCTTCATCTAGCAGTGGTCGTGAGGTAGAGGAGGCATGGGTAGACAACTGAGGATTACCACAACCTACAGCCAGGTTCCAGCAGGCTTGGAGGCTGATAGAGATAATATCCTGCCTCTCCTTATTGTTCAGGCAGAAGAAGGGAACTAACACGAGGTCATGTCATCCTTTTCTTGCTATTTGAAGCCAGTATGATAACAGGCTGCATTGTGCATTTGTGTTGTGTGTATGGATGTGTCTTGGGTCTCTTTTGCTGTGATAATCACTATGTCTAAAATAGCTCACAGTCCATCACTGATGAAAATTAGGGCAGGAATTCAAAGCAGGAACTAAAGCAGAGGCTATGAAGGAATTCTGCTCACTGGCTTGCTTTTCATGGCTTGCTCAGCCTTCTTTCTTATCCCACTGAGTACCACCTTCCCAGAGGCGGCGCTACCCACAGTGAGCTAGGATCACATCAATCATTAACCAAGAAAATGCCCCTCGCCGGGCGGTGGTGGCGCACGCCTTTAATCCCAGCACTCGGGAGGCAGAGGCAGGCGGATCTCTGTGAGTTCGAGGCCAGCCTGGTCTACAAGAGCTAGTTCCAGGACAGGAACCAAAAGCTACGGAGAAACCCTGTCTCGAAAAATCAAAAAAAAAAAAAAAAAAAAAAGAAAATGCCCCTCGACTGGCCTGCAAATGTATCTGATGAAGTCATTTTCTCAATTTAAGACCCTTCTTCCCAGATGACTCTAGCTTTAAGTCAGGTTGACAAAAGTTCAACCCACATGGGACATATGTTTGGCGATGTTTCAATCTGTGTGTCTTATATGTTCTCGTGTATGTGTCTGCATGTGGGTATATGTGTACTTTGGGTATTATATTGTCTGTTATGTACATACACGTGCCTATGTGTATGTCTATGTGCCTGTGTAAGCATATTGTGTGCTGGGTGCATGTATGTGTGGATCTTGTTTAGGCATCCTGTGTTGTGTGTGTGTTTGTGTATGTGTCTGCATGTGTACTATATACTCTGCATATGTATATGTATGTAGTGTGTATTACTTGTGTTGTGTGGGCATTGTGTGTGAATATACTCTAATGTGTGCAGTTTAATAGTGAGAGAGAGAGAGAGAGAGAGAGAGAGAGAGAGAGACTCAGTGGTTTGTGTACAATAGGTCTACAGATAGACTAGAATATGCCTATCTTCCTCTTTGGAGCTGGACAGAGAAAGAGGTGAACTTTACAGCAAAGGATAGCCATCATTTCTCTCTACATGGAATCGTATTCATCCAACCCACAGAGACTTTTCTGCAAGCTTCCCTACCCACCAGAAACGCTTCTTCCACCACAGCAGGGAGAGTTGCCAGACTTAGCCTCCCTCACAGCACTGGGCAGCAGCAGAGACTGAGCATGCTCACAGCAGGAAGAAGATAGAGCCCAACTCACCACCTCCAACCGTCTATCTCCCAGCTGGACCTGCACCTCAAGTTCCCCTCTCAGGTGCTAGCCAATCACTGAGCCCTGATAGCACAGTCTTACGTGGGGGATTTGGGATTAGAAAACACTAGAGAGTTGATACCCCCAGTAACAGATATGAATTCTTGGCAAAAACCAAGCCTTTTGTCTAGAAAGACGGACAGCAGCCTGCAAAGTACAGATAGGAAAGGCGAGCGATGAGCTTTCTTCCTAGCTCAGCGGATGATAAAAATCGGACCACAGCCAGTTAAGAATTAAAAAGTCCTAAGGCCCAACCAGAATAGAATACTGCACCCCTGACATGCAGAGTGACACCTGCTCCCCTAAGGGTAGTGCTGGGGTAGGGTTACATGGCCCTCAGTCCCCTTGTGCAGCTTGAGCCTGATCTGACAACTTCAAAAAGCCAGTCATCCTTATGCATTTCCTGCTGAGACTTCCTGGTGCAACAAATCAAACTGGCAGATCAGTGCTGGGTCCTGTGGTGTTTGCACCGCTTCCTGGCCAATTTCCCCTGTGGTGCCTGGCTTAAGCCAACATCTAACAAAAGGAAGGTATGGAAGCCACCAACCACCTTTGAGGGTCTTCCTTTGTTTCTTTGCAGCTAAACACCACCCACGAAACATTTAACTTTAATCACTAGTGAGGGATGTTAGGATGGTGGGGGGGAGGAGAGAAAACACAATCAACAGTGGGGAATGGATGGGCTAGAGCCCTGGGGAACTCTCAGGTCCTGACTGGGAGACCAGGTCATCTGGTTCCCACCCTCTCTTCCCTGAGATCTTTTTATTTATTTATTTATTTATTTATTTATTCATTTATTTATTTTATTGAGAAAAGGAAAAAAAGTATCCGCCTCCTCCCAGCCTCCCATTTCCCTCCCCCTCCTCCCACCCTTCTCCCCCTCCCCCAAACTCCTCTCCGCCTCCCTCTCCAGTCCATAGAGCAGTCAGGGTTCTCTGGCCTGTGGAAAGTCCAAGGTCCGCCCCCCTCCGTCCTTGTCTAGGAAGGTGAACAACCAAACTGGCTAGGCTCCCACAAAGCCAGAACATGAAGTAGGGTCAAAACCCCATGCCATTGTCCTTGGCTTCTCATCAGCCCTCATTGTTTGCCATGTTCAGAGAGTCCGGTTTTATCCCATGCTTTTTCAGTCACAGTCCAGCTGGCCTTGGTGAGCTCCCACTAGATCAGCCCCCTTGTCTCAGTGGGTGGGTGCGCCCCTCGTGGTCCTGACTTCCTTGCTCATCTTCTCCCTCCTTCCACTCCTCTTTGGGACCTTGGGAGCTCAGACCAGTGCTCCAGTGTGGGTCTCTGTCTCTATCTCCATCCATCACCAGATGAAGGTTCTATGATGGTATGCAAGATATTCATCAGTATTGCTATAGGATAGGGTCATTTCGGGTTGCCTATCCTCAGCTGCCCAAGGAACTAACTTGGGACATCACCATGGGCTCCTGGGAGCCACTCTAGAGTCAAGTCTCTTGCCAACCCTAAAGTGGCTCCCTTAACTAAGAATTGTGGTTCAGTGCGCCCCTGTCCAACCTTCCTTTATCCCAATCCTCCTGTTTCCCCAAGTTTTCCCCCTCCTTCCCTTCTAACTTTTCTCTCCCCATCACCCCTTACCCCCCATGCCACCCCACCCCCAAGATCCCAATTTTCTCCCCGGCAATTTTGTCTACTTCCCTTAGCCAAGAGGATAGCTATATGTTTTTCCTTGGGTTCACCTTCTTATTTAGCTTCTTTAGATTCACCAATTGTAGTCTCCATGACCCTTATTTATGGCTAGAAACCAATTATGAGTGAGTACATTCCATGTTCATCTTTTTGGGTCTGGGATACCTCACTCAGGATAGTGTTTTCTATTTCCATCCATTTGCATGCAAAATTCGAGAAGTCATTGTTTTTTACCGCAGCATAGTACTCTAATGTGTATATATTCCATACTTTCTTCATCCATTCTTCCATTGAAGGGCATCTAGGTTGTTTCCAGGTTCTGGCTATTACAAATAATACTGCTATGAACATAGTTGAACAAATGCTTTTGTCATATGATAGGGCATCTCTTGGGTATATTCCCAAGAGTGGTATTGCTGGGTCCAGGGGTAGGTTGATCCCGAATTTCCTGAGAAACCAAAACACTGATTTCCACAGTGGTTGCACAAGATTGCATTCACACCAGCAATGGATGGGGGTACCCCTTCCTCCACAGCCTCTCCAGCACAGGCTATCATTGGTGTTTTTGACTTTAGCCATTCTGACAGGTGTAAGATGATACTGAGATCTTTTTTTTTTAAAAAAATCCTTTTTTAAAAGATTTATTTATTAATTATGTATACAGTTTTCCCTGCATGTGTGTTGCTGGGCAGAAGAGGGCACCAGATCTCATTATAGATGGTTGTGAGCCACCATATGGTTGCTGGGAATTGAGCTCAGGACCTCTGGAAGAACAGTCAGCGCTCTTAACCTCTGAGCCATCTCTCCAGCTCCTCTTCCCTGAGATCTTGTCATTTTTTTTAATCTTACTGTGCATAATGACCACCTCATATCTTTGCTTTGAGCTATCATGGTAGCCCCTCAATGTGGGGGGCTTACCTTACGTCCCAGTAAGTGCCCATTCACTTACATATCCAAGATCGAAGGCATCACTTAAAATGAAGACATCAATGAAGTCACATCTCATGTTATGAATGAATGAAGACGTCTAAACACGAAGTGCAGAAGGCAAGAGATGGAGACATACAAGGACCTTGGCTGTTGGCTGCCTTTGTGTCCCCAAGTTTCTTCCCATTGGTCTAAATGAAGTGTGGTGGGGGAAACTGAGGCAAAGTCTCCTACTATCTCTCGCTGTTTTCCTGCCTACCTTAGTCAAGGCTTGGTCTCCAGGTGAGCACCAAACAAACAGTTGTATCCCAGAGAAGGCAGAGCCAGTGAAACCATGCCCTTCAGTGACCCTGAGGGGCTTCTCTTCCTGTCTAGATCAGTGTCCTCAATCTGTGTTATGTGTGGTAATGTGACTGGCAGCTAAGATGGTGTCAGATGGCATGGTACCGTGTTTAATTTACACCTGTGACCCCGATGAAGGCGCCCGCTGACTAGCCATACTGTTCAACAAGGCATTTAAAATTGTGTGGAAGTAGATCCTGGGGAGTCTCTGAACCTGTTGTCTTCTAACGGATCAGAAAATAAGTCAATCTTGTTATTATTTTTTTTTAGATGAGGATACCCCAGACCTCATTACATAGTCAGAGATGGCCTTGAACTCCTGTTCTAGTACCCCGTTTCCCAAGTGCTGGGATCAGAGTTGCGTTCCACTGTCCCTGGGTTAACATGGTGCTGGGGATGGACACTTTCTAGGCAAGCACTCCACCAACTGAGCTACGTCCCCCAACCTCAAACACCAATCTTATTTTGGAAGGCTTAATCTGGTCCTGTTTGCCACCCCCTCCGCTTGGTTCTTTATAGGAATTCGCATCCCCCCCCCCTCCATGTCCTAGGGTAGGGCTTCTCAAGGCTTCCCCTACATTGTCTAACTGGCTTCTCCTTGAAGCCATAGGAAGTTTTCACTGTATGTGCCTGTTTGCTGAGCCTCTGGATGTATGCTGACCCACTTCTCTTGCTCCACAGGAAGCGGCCATCAGCTGCTGGGTGCAGTTCAGTGATGGCTCTGTCACACCGTTGGACATTTACGATGAAAAGGATTTCTCCCTGCTGGCCACATCCTTGGATGAGAAGGTTGTCTCCATTCTCCAGGACCCCAAATTCAAGTGGCCTATCATTGCTGCAGAAAATGAAGGACAGGGGGCTCTGGTAAAGGTGGAGATGCTGATCAGTGAATCTTGCCAGAAATCTAAGCGGAAGAGCGTGCTGGCTGTGGGAACAGCCAACATCAAGGTTAAATTTGGACAAAATGACGGGAACCCCAACAGCAGTGAGAGTGGACACCCTGGGGCTGGACTTCATGTGGAGAATATCAATGAGAGGCGGTCCAAAAAGCCTTTGCAGGAGTGGGGGAGCCCCGAAGGGTCGTATTACAGCAGCTCCTCCATGGGGCTCATGGAGGGATGGGGCAGTACAACCAAAAGGCCAACTTTCCAGAGGAAGGAAGGCCAGGAAAGCCTCTTAGATGACATCATCCTCTCACAGACCATGGCCACAGACTTCACCAGCTTCCCAGACCAGGTGGATCTCCCCAGGAGCAACACAGGCTCTGAGGAGCACGACCCTGATCAAGCCGCCAAGGGCTTGAGTGACCTAGAAATCGGGATGTATGCTTTGCTGGGTGTCTTCTGCCTGGCGATCTTGGTGTTCTTAATTAACTGCGTGACCTTTGCCCTGAAGTACAGGCACAAACAGGTTCCCTTTGAGGAGCAAGAAGGTCTGAGTCATTCTCATGACTGGGTTGGGCTGAGCAACCAGACAGAGCTCTTGGGGAACCCCATGAACTTCGCCTCCTCCCAAGAGGAGCAGATCACTGCCCTTGACAGGGGTCTGGACTTTGAGGAGAGCAAACTGCTTCTCAGCTCAAATTCCCAGAGCAGCATCAATGGACAGCTGTTCAGGTCCGCGGGAGCCATGCTCACAGATGGGGATGAACAGAAAAGCGAACCCCCCACATCCCCTACCTCCAAAAGGAAAAGAGTGACGTTCTCCACGTTCTCAGCCATCTCCTCAGATGACGGGTGTTCTGCTGGGAACACCATGGTGTTGAGTAATGAGGATGACATTAAGTGGGTCTGCCAGGCTCTGGACCCCGGGGAGTGCCCAGACCCTCACAGTTGCATGGAGAGGCTACATGAGCACGTGTAACATGGACACCAATGTTGTTCTTACCTTTCAGCCTTGAACCCACCCGGGTATGGGGAGTAGACATGCAGCCAAGGGAGACATGAGACAAGAGGACACCATAAGGGTGACACTGTCCATGGAGCCTTGGGAAATGATCCCCTCTTAGCTGAGGAGGTCCAGAGTTGGTACCCATGCATACGCCATTGCGCACAATGTTCTGGTTCGACTCACGAGGTTCATTGTGCATGGGAAAGTGTTTTCAAACCTGGAACAAAGATGCGTGTTTGAGGGTTCTCAGGGAAGAACTCTCTCCCTCTAATCTAAGCAATTTGGTTTTCTGCTTTGGGAGTCAATATTTCAGACCATGATAATAAAAAAAGCAAGAACTCAGGTTGAGCATGCATGGATCAGCAGGCAGAAGCATGCTATCTGAGTGGAGCAGCAGGGCTGGCTGGGAGGGTGCCCGTGGGCAGAGCCTTATGCTGAAGCTAGCTGCAGGAAGCCAGGTAGTGGACTGTTATTTCCCAAAGATGGCCAAAGTCGGCCAGTGATGATTGACAGGCAAAGGCAGAGATTAGCAGGGCAAAAAGGAATGGGTAGATGAGTGTGACCCACAAATATAACTACACACACACACACACACACACACACACAAAACATTAGAGCAACTCAGAGAAGCCTCCTGCCCTGTTGGGCACTTGGGCATAAACCACACGGCTCCTTTAGCAAGTTCATCACCTTTGAACTTTATCTCTCCACTCCACTGACACCCTTACTGCAGCTGTTGGTTATCCATGAGTGAAGAGAGCAGGGTAAATTTTCTAGAATTTTCTCCCTGCCCCTCTTTCCTCAGACCTTGTGTCAACTGTGGGTGACATTCTATGGAGAAGGTCCCAGGGACATACATCCCTCTGAAGAGGCTGGGCTCCAGAGTGGAAGTAGGACTGGGGTGAACGCCACACCCACTCCCTGCTTTCCTAGAAACCATAGAGGTTTGTTTGTTACTCATGTTGGGTCTACTGTCCAAGAATTTGTCACCAGGGTATTACAACAAATCTGGTGTGGAGGTCCTTCTGCATCTCATATGACACAAATCCCTCTGTTCAGAGAGGATAGGCTATCCCAAGCTGTGAGAGAGGTGGGCTTGTGCATGCTTGAAGAGCATGAGAGAGATGAAGGGTATGTGTAGGGTGTGTGTGTGTCTGTGTACGTGTGTATCAGAGGTGTGTGCGTGTATGTTGAGGGTATGCATGTGTCATCTGTGGGTGCATGTGTGTAGGTACATACTTTTGCAAACACTTGGACCCAAAGTCAGCCCTGAAAGGATTACCATTGCTTAAAATCAAAATGATTGGTCATTGTCTCTGAGATCCCTCAGATGCTGAGGCCCCTGAAGATGGAAGGATTGGCATGATCAGGGGATCCCTAACCCAATCCCGGTCTCACTGTGAAGTGAGGAGGGCTGAAAAGTAGCTGTGACCTTGAAGGGTGAAGGAGGCTGGTCTCTCTGTCTATTTCTACTTCGGTCAGTTCCCTTCTTCTGGTCTTCAGACCTCTCTTCAACATTTTTCTCCTCTCCTCTCTCTTTGGGCATTTCTGTCTGCCCTGAACCTATTCTCAATTTTCTTTCCCATTACTTTCTGTCTTTATCCTCTTGTCTCTTTCTTTATCACCCTCCCCCCCCTCCTCCTCCTCCTCCTCCTTCTTCTTCCTATCCCCACTAAGAGAATCTCCCCAGAGTCCCACCTCCCCTACCCCTCAGGCCCATTTCCCCCTGATTGTGGTGCTAATCCTTTTGTTCTGACAGCCAGCAAGCCACCCAGCTCCTGTCCCCCATAGACTCCCCTTGTTTGGGTAGGTGATGAAACTCTTACCCCTCAACCACCGAAATCCTTTGCTTTTAGTTGCCCCCTTTCTGGTTTCTCCCTATTCTGACCCGTGTGACATTTCCTGGACTGCAGCAGATGCCTGTTCTCCAATCCCTCCATGTGTAGAATGTATTGTAGATTGTAAGAATGTAATATATATTTATAAACTCACTGACTGTAAATATAAAACATGCACTCCGCGGCTTTATGGCTGGCCTTTGTCTTTCTACATGCTGAACCCCCCCCCTCCTACCCCCTGCTCCCAGGGCCCCAGGATCAGTTGTAAATGGCTCTCCCAATGCTATGGCTTTTGGTAAATGAAAATGTAGATTAAGGATCCAGTGCAATCCAATTACACCCTGACATCCTGTAATGCTGCTCCCGGCATCGAGGGGATGTTGACACACGATGACAGAGTAGGCCGTGTGCTGAGTGTCTCTCCTTCAGGACCTGAAAGGATTTGAAAATAAATCACACGTGTAATTCTCTCCTAAAAGCCTGCTGACGGATGGTAGATGGGAGCCTCAGAGACAGGCACTTGGCCCAGCCTCCCTGCGTGCTGGAGCAACGAGGGCACTCTGTCCTCTCCTTGGGTCTCCTAGGTATTTACACACAGCTGGATTCAAAAACTGACCTTGAGAGAGGTGGTTCAGATGTCCAGAACCCACACGAAAAAGCTAAACACAGTGGTATGCATCCGCAAACCCAGTGTTGGGGAGACAGAGATGGGGAATCCCTGGGATTCACTGACCAGCCAGCCTAGCTGAACCTGTGAGCCCTGGGTTTACCAAGAGACCTCGTCTCAAAAATTAACATGGGAAGCAACTTAGAATAATGTCCAGTGTTCCCAATGTAGGAACACACATACACGCTGATCTGGAGATTCAGACTTTATTCACTGTGTCCCCAACATGGTTCTTCATAGAGAAAAGACGGCAGAGCCCTGGGATAAACACACACTCATGAGTGCTGGTCATTCAACCATATACGGAGCAAGTGCTCTGCCAGTAGGATAGCACTGGAGAGACACATGCCACTCTCACAGGCATTACTTATGTTTGGGACAGGAATTAACAAAAACAAAATAATTTAGGGGATAGCCATAAGTTTCACAAAAAGAATTACAAAAAAAGTAGCAGAAGAAAGAGTTAAACAGTACTTGAAGCCCTGTCTGTTTTGCCTAAAAAAAATCCAGGTTCTACTGTTCCTTACAAACGCATACACATGAGAAAGGGCATGGTCGGTATGGACAACAAGTATGGAAACCCCTGATCCCTAGGGTGTACTTGGAACAGAGCATCAATTCCACCTGCCGACATTTTCCTACAAGAGGAATGATTTTTGAAGCCATCTCCATCCCAGGTGGGGAAAATGACAAAGAAACTGTTTTTAAGACAATTAATTAGTAAAGGATGTGTTACTGCGAGGAAGACCATTCTCTTCTGAATCTCCCAGGCAAATACACAGCACCTAAAGAACACAATGCACAGTCTATGGAGAAGATGCATCAGTGGTAACGTACTTGCCGTGCGAGAAAGAGGGCCTGAATTCAATCCCCGACACCCACATCCAAAAGTTTGGCATTTGATCCCTGTGCGGGGGAAGTGGAGATAGACAGATCTCGGGACTCATTGGCCAGCCAGCCTGGCCTACTCAGTGAGCTCCAAGTCACAGGGAAGGACTCTGTCTCAGAAAACAGGGTGTGGGTCAGAAAGATGATTCAGTCAGTAGCTGGGAGAGCTTCCTGTGCAAGCCGGATGACCTGAGTTCAATCTTGGAACCTGGATGAAGTGGGAAGGAGAGAAGAGACTTCATGAAGTTGTCCTCTGACCGCCATACACATCCCATGACATACATGTGCATGCATGAACACACACATGTATACACACTGCTACTAGTAGTAATAATAATAATAACAAAAAAATTTTAAATTATGAAGTTGGGGCTGCAGCAATGGCTCCATGGCTAAGAGTGCTTGCTGTTCTTGCAAATGATTCAAGTTTTGTTCCCAGCACCCACAAGGTGACTCACAACCTCCCATAATTCTAGCTCCGGGGTACCCAATACCCTCTTCTGGCCTCTCCACCCTCAAGGCATGGACATGGTGCACATATATGTAGGCAAAACACTCAGACAGAAAACCAAATAAGTAATTAAAAAGTAACAAGGTAAACAGCACATGGGTAATGACATCCACCATTGAACTCTGCCCTCCTGTCCATAGACATACATGCACCCATACAAACACACACCCACAAAAAACACAACAACTTAAATACACAGTCTGACATGATCCACGTGCCTAGAATTTGGGCAACAACCCAAAGTCTGGATAAACAAAAAACCCCAGACAGGTGTCTTTCAAATGTAAAGAAAGCCAATGCCTTCTCTTGCATACCTGACCCGTATGCTCATTGTACCCATGTGTGCCTGGGAGCAAAGAGCTTCCTACATGTTGGGAATGCCATTCCTTCAGCCGCCATTACCGTCTCCTCAGCATCACGTTCAGAAGGATGCACCAGCTCTTTGCCTCTCACGTCTCTTCTAGCTGTCCAACCATAAAGATTTTGTGAAAGAGGAGCCCTGAACACTACGCTGCCTCTCATCTCTGGCGGACGAAGCACTGAGGTCAAAGTGTTGTTGGAGGTCACTCGGACTGAGAGTTTCAAGTTGGAGCTATCCATTGGCTTCTGTGGCTTGCTGGTGGTCTTCGGTGTCCCTTGTTCTCAGAAATAGTACCTTGGGGCTGGAGTGTGACTCGTTGGTAGAACACTTGCCTAGCATGGACAAGGCCCTGAATTTCATCCCCAGAACTCCATCCTAAAACATCCCCCTTTCCCTGTTACTAGGACTGGCTTGGGTTTGGGGTTTCCAGGAATGTCTCAGCCCCCAAAGCTTTTCTTCACCCTCATTTCTTCCTTTCACACCCACTTTACAAATAAGGCTGTGCTGGGCCCCCCTGGGAGTGCGAACCAGTAAATAGGTGTGTGTTTCCCTCTGGGGAAGCTCCAAACTGTGAGCTTCCCCTCCCATTTGACACCTCCCAAAGAGCCCTCATTAGCACCTTGCCACCTTGCTTCTGCCTTTGAAACAGCAAAACATTCAGTAAGAGGAGTGTGTGGACCAGGGATGCTGTCCCGGGAGAGACATGTTTTCTGGGCCAGCAGCCACTTGACATCAAAGGAGCATTCTGGGTGATGAGAAAGAATAAGAGATCTGGATACCAGATTGACTTGACTCAGTGGAGTCCCTTGAGAAGACCTTGTTGGGCCCAGTGGTCACACGTCTATGGCAAAATGTGAGACTCTAGCAGAACGCTGTGGACAGGGAAGCGAAAGGCTTACACTTCAGTGTGTGTGTGTGGGGGGTACATTTCTGGGAGCACGAAGGAGTGCATACCTTTGGGGCTATTGTATCAAATCACCACTGACCAAATGACCTAGAACAACAGGAATTTGTTCCCTGTTGGTTTCCGAGTCTGAAATGAGGGCATCTCCAGGTCCCTCCTGAGGTCCCTGATGGCTCCTGGCCAGGCCTGGCCTTCTACTGAGTCTGAATTTTTCATCTTCTCATAAGGACGCAGACCTGCCCCACTCCAGTATGACCTCATCATACATATCTGCATTATGTCTTTACATCTGTAAAAGCCCTGTCTCCTTGGGCTTTGGGGCTTAGGATTTTGATGGACCTTGAGGAGGACACAATTCTATCCACACCATAGAGAAAGATGCCTCTTGGGAAGGAAGAAATCCCATATTACTGGGCTTTTTTAAAAAAATCTTTCCACAAGGCATGGTGGCAGATAGTCATTAATCTCAGCACTCGAGAGAAAGAGACAGGAGGATCTCTGTGCGTTCAAAAGCAGCCAGGTCTACATGGTGGCTGACAGTCAGGTCTACGAAGGGAGACCCTGTCTCAGAGTGAAGTGAAACAAAAATACTTCTAATGCAAGTGATTTCAAACAATAAATAAGAGGGGAAGAGATAGCTCAGAGGTAAAATTGCTTCCTGCAAATGCACACGATTGCAGGCACCTGCAGAGGCTTAAGATCCCCTGGGAAATGGACTTTCAGGTAGTTGTGAGCCAGTCAACATGGGTGCTGGGAACTGAACTCTGGGCCTTTGCAGGAGCAAGCGGTATACCCCAAGTGGCGTAATTTAATTTAAATTATTTATGATATACACTCATACTTACATATATTATATGTATTTAATATGTATTTTAAGTAAACATAAAATAATGTTTCCCTATGGCTTTTTCAATCATCCTTACATCCTTAATGTTATACATCCTCCCTCCCCTTCCACGGATAAAGGTGGGGGCCTTTGCTATGTCCTCCTTTACAGCATCTATGTCCTTCTATCCCCTTCTCCAAGCTCCAACACATGGTCCCTTTTTACTTTCCTGGTTTCTGCATAGATACAGTTTCCTAACTAGCTCCGGGCATCAGCCGTGGACAGTGGTGACAGGTGTCACTTCCTATGAGGACAGTCGAGTTTGTGGAGTGTCTATGTGGGTATTGACACACGGATTCCTGAGTCACCGTATGGAGGGGCCTGGTCTCCATAGGACCCTCCCATAGGCCTCTTCGTGACCACACAAACCTCAGTAGCTCTTGCTCACCACTGGCACTATGGGTTATTTTCTTGGCAGCACCCACCGTGGCCCAATTACCATAGTTATTGATCACACGCAGCTGGCTCATTAGGCAGCTGGATTCCCCCGAGCCCATCCTCATGTCAGAGTGGGAAGTTAGGTGTGCATCCAGGGGCCAGATTCATGCCACAATCTATTATTTTTCCCTCTAAGGATTGGCCTGACCCAGCTGCCAGTGCAGGCCTGGCCCGAAGGAGAACAACACGCAGACCGTCTTGAGAGTGAAGAGATCCCCAGAGGCTTAATTGTGACTCTTATTACGAGGAATGATGGGACTTGACTGCCCTTCTCTGCTGGCTCGAGAGGCCTCATTAGCCAGCTGGGACTTGGCAGTTTGTGCCAGCACTGCCCAAGAGCCTGGCTTTCCCCCCAAAGACCTCTGGCTGCCTGGCTTCTCCAGCTCCCCGATGGCCTTCATCCCTACCTGCCCCTTGGAGAATGTGTTTAGTTGTGACGGAGAGGGTCATAGCTCTGCACCTACCCAGCCACCTTAGACGTTCCACACAGCTTAAGGTCTGGAAACAGAAACCACAGCTCTGAAGCCCATCTCAGTACCACCCGTCTCAGAGTGGCAGAGCTGGGCAGCCATCCAGGCTGGAGCCTGGATGGGGTTTCAGCTG